AGCGCCGTGCGACGACCCGGTCGACGAACGTCCGGCGATGGCGCCGACGGAGTCGGGAAGGAGCGGACGATTCCAAAGCCCGTCGCCGCCCGCGGCCTCGTTTGCCCGTTTCCCGACTTTCCTATCGCGGCGGCGGGATTTCGGAGTCGGCTGCGCGGCGCGTTCCGGTCCGGCGCCCAACGTGCATCAATGAGCACCAACATGCATCATTCATGGCGCTTGAAAAATCCAACGTTTGTTTGAGCCGGCAGGCAGAGACAAAACGCGCGATGAATATTTCAATCGGCTGCTCGGATAAACAACGACGACAAAACAGTCATGAAACATTTACCCTGATGGACGCGTTCGTCGCCGCCCGAACCAGGCGGAAAGCCAAAAGTGCCGCCGACGACCGCATATTTAATCACGCACGCGGCCTACCGCTAGCATTAGCGCCACCTGCGTGTGAGCGAGTGAGGGAGTGAGTGAGCGCTTCTGTCTGTGTGCGCGTGAGCGCGCACCAGTGCGTGAGTGTGAGATTTGTTTCCAGAGGTGAAGATGAAGTGCGGAGAGCGGCCATCCTGCGCCATTCCCGCATGGCGCGTTTTGACGGACAAAAAGTACCGAGTTTGTCCTCGGAGGCCGAAGGCCGCTTGTCCTCCAACGTCACGCCGCAAACAGGATGGAAACGGGCGAGACGGTCACACCCTTGACTTTGCGCCAGCCACAGCGGAACGAACGGGCCCGCTCGCCGCGCCGGCGGGACGATAAGCTCCGCCTGCGCCGATGACCGACCTCGAGGCAAACTTGCCTCGCAGAAGCCGGACTCCACATGAAAGTTTGAAAGGAAGACTTTGCCAGTGAGACTTGGAAGGGACGGATCCCCGATTTCAACATCGGCGACCGCTTTGCCCCACGGCCGCGGCAGGAGGAGGGGGAGGGCGGCGGTTTGCGGCACTTGGCAGACATTTTAAGCGTTGGGGGGGGAGGGGGGGGGCGGTTGCAGATCAATTCCCCGCTATTTTGGGCCGGTTGACAAGCGGTCACGTCACGCGGGAAAATTTGACAGGTGACATCACCTCGGGCGCAATCTTCTCAGCCGGGCCGCCGCGCGGACTTTGGTTTCGTATCGGCGCCGCGCCACGTAAACATCGGTGTCAAACTGCGGTCCCGGAGGGCCGCCGTCCCGCGTGTTTTCCGAGTCTCCCCGTTGCGACGCATCCGATTGAAATGATCAGATCATCGGCAAGCTCTGCGGCAGCCCGACGTCGAACCCGTTCATTTGAATGGGGCGCGTCGCAACGGGGAGACTCGGAAAACACGCGCGACGGCGGCCCTCCGGGACCGCAGTTTGACACCGATGACGTCAAAAGGTCCTCGGTCCCTGTTTTGGCGTGACGGCGCCACTTCAGGCCCGCAAAACAAAGGGCGGCGTTTCACGCGTTCCTTCAAAGCAAACATCCGCCCCTCTTCCAAATACTTTTGGGGATGTCCATGCAGAGCGGGCTGAACCGGCTGGCACACGCGCGTATAAATGCCTGCTGGAGGATCCATCAGCGCCTTCATTTCTTGCCTTATGCAGGTTTCGTGTCAAAACATCTTTGGTGCATCCCAAAAAAAACGTCAAGAGTTCATCTCGCAAAAAATAGAAACGTCGCGCAAAGCAAAAGTTTTCCATTGATGTTTTTCTTCAGCGTAATTGACACTTTGGAATAAACGTTTGCAACTTTTCCTTTGACGGTTCCAAGTCAACGTTTGACATGTGTTTATGGACGCTTCCAAATTCAAGTTTGGAACGACTACACCTGTCGATTGATTGCCACTCTGCGACAACTCTTAATTGACACGTCAGAATCAAGGTTTGTTCGCAGATCTTCGCAAATCATAACGACTGTTTGATTCATTTGATACACTTTTAAATGAAATAACGCTTCAAAATAAAGGGTTGCAGTTGATTGATTCACTCCTCGACACAAATTTTGCAACTTTTCAACGTACGCTGCCTGACTTGTCATCACGAACTGAAGGTTTGCGACTGAACAACTGACACTTCAAAATAAAATGTATTGACGCGGCAAAGTGATCAACAGCCGCCTGTCCAGGAAAAGCAAAAAAAAGCCACTCCAATTTTACCCTCGGATCAAACGGTTTACCCACAGGTACAGATGACGACTGACAGAACCCTTTCTACGATGGAACTTTCCTGTACGACTGAGAGCCTCCACAAGCGTTTTATTTCGAATGAAACGACACGCGACGGCCGTCGCCTTGATCTTCGCGCGCTTGGTTCTTAACCAAAATAAAGCCGCATTGTGATCGATCTCCGTTTCACAAAATGTGCGGCCCGTCACTTACGTCATCAACGTCAAATTCGCGTTTTATTTCGAATGAAACGACACGCGACGACCGTCGCCTTGATCTTCGCGCGCTTGGCTCTTAACCAAAATAAAGCCGCATTGTGATCGATCTCTTCCGTTTCACAAAATGTGCGGCCCGTCTCTTCCGTCATCAACGTCAAATTCGCGTTTTATTTCGATCGTAGAAAGGGTTCTGTCAGTCGTCATCTGTACCTGTGGGTAAAAAACAAAAAACAAAAAACAAAACAAAAAAACAAAAAAGGACGTTTCGCTTCTCTCACAGAAGCTTCGTCAGCGGTAGACAACCCTGAAGTCTCCGTGAAGACTCCGGGAAGTTGCTCTGCGCTAAAAGGCTGAGCGTGGCCTGTTTGAGGACTGGGTGGGGATGGTTAGTCACGCCCCTATGGTGAAGAGGCCCATTGGTTTCTAAACTCCCTATCATTGGGTC